AGACAGACAGACAGACAGACAGACAGACAGACAGACAGACAGACAGACAGACAGAAAGACGGACAGAGAAAGAGAGAGGGCGAATGAACGAACAAACAAGCGACCGTTAATTTGCGTTAGTGTCAGCTTGATTAAAAAACAAAAGAAAGAAGATAACGTTCTATTCATGCTTTAAAAATACAAACAAAAACAAAACCTACAGCAAAAAACAAAACAAAACAATTCGTCGTGCCTTGCTGTGATGGGGTCAAGTGTTTTGAGAAAGTTTTCAAGAGTCAGGGTAAAGAGACACTTTCATTTAGTCACAAAATTAAAAACCATTGTCTCTTGACATACCACATAATATTTCATACTGCGGCTCTCATGCAGGGAGTGGCACATGTCACTAAAGTAAACAGAATAATACACATCTCACAGAGAAATTAGGTGAATTTTTTTTTCTTTAGATTTATATGATTTACCTTAATAAAGTGTATTAAAAATGTATACTCATGATCATGATAATTAGTTGTAATGATAACATAATGATAATTATACGAGTACCATGGTAGGGAAAATAATAATTACAATAATATTATAACTGACAATGATAACTGATAATGTAAACACTGATATAATACAATATAATATAGATCTAGTTGTGTCAAAACGCAGCGGAATCAGACGTTCCTAGCTTTTTGAGCATACAGAGTTATTGGTGCAGTCCTTGGTTTTGATCATAAAATATATCTCTATCTTGAATAGAAGTCGGGGTATTTGCAACTGACGAAGGAGGGGGTCATCTGTTTGCAAGAGAAAAAGACGCGAGAAAAAGGCCACTAAAGTTATTGAGTGATTTCTTGAATCCCCTAGGAAACTACATATTTAAACCTGTGTGCTACTGATCAACATATGTAAATACATTTATTGGCTTCTTTATTTATTTTTACTTATATTGTGTATCTCTCTCTCTCTCTCTCTCTTTCTCTCTTTCTCTCTTTCTCTCTCTCTCTCTCTCTCTGTGTCTCTCTCTCTCTCTCTGTCTCTCTTTTTTCTCTCTCTCACTCTCTCTCACTTTCTCTCTCTTTCTCTACCCCTTTCTGTTCCTCTTTCTACCTCCGCTGATCTATCGGTATCTCTGTGTCTTTCACGCTCTATTTGGTGCACTACCTCTTTCTCACTCAATTTCACTTTTCACCACAAACTTTTTCCAAGGATATCACTCTCCACCAAGGCCAGCCTTTGTCAGCAAGGCCGAAGTAGAAGCTTATGACGTCAGTCCTGGTCCTTGACTCTCGTTTCCGCCAACGATGCATTCGTTATGTTTGTATTATATAACATGAGATGAGAGGCAATCAAATCGTCAGTCTACGCCGGAGAGGACCTACTGTCACGAGTTGGTATCTGGTGATAGGAAGAAAATGCAAGTTAAGCTACGTTGATAGCAAACAACAGCAACCACAAAAATTACAACAACGAGCGAAAGCAACGAACGCTTTACTCAGCTTCTTCAAGCAGTGCCAGGTGGATAATGATGTATTTGAGCGTGCCTGATATGATGGGAAAATGTCGGGTTTTCACCATTGTTGTACTGTGCTTGTGGTTTCTGCCTATGGTCTGCCTAGCGTGCTCCAGAGGTCCCAGGCCGGAACTTGAAACAAAATTTTGTCCATCCAGAAAGAACCTGATCAAAGGCTTTCCTGGCGGGATATCTGAGCACTCCATGAAGAATCCAAGATGTGTCAAGGCTCTCTCCTCAATTTCAAACACTCGGTCAACAGTTGACAACTATTGGTCGTCTTTAGATTCAGCTTACAAGTGGGTGCTTTGTCCCGCTGGTTATTTCTTGCAAGGCTTCAAGTTCGCTAAGAATGGAGATGGCATTTATGCATTGCACGAGGGTCTATGTTCGAAAGATGTGGACTCCCCAAGCACTTACGAACACTGTTATAGACAAGACGCCAAGGTATCCACAATGTGCCTCAAAGACTACTTTGTAACAGGAATACTGCGAGACTCCTGCAGCGACTGGAGTTGCGTGTTGAGGTTGAGATGCTGTAAACAGTCCTCCTCTTCTGAATTTACCATCAGCTCAGTTGAAGCCGCGAAGAAAAAAGTTATGCTGCAATCTCTGGACGGGCTGGCTCAGATCGCATCGTATCTGGGTTATGATGGGGTCAAAGGTTGCTTCGGGCAAGTAGCAGGTGATGATTTCGTGGCAAATGGAACTGCTTGGGTGGCGAAGAAATGTATGCATGACGACAGTCCTCAGCTGAAAATCGGTTATGAGGACTGGAAATTCAGACGATCGGGTCTATCGTATTTAATGCAGGAAACTATAGACTTACCACCCGAGGAGATAGAAAGTGGTGTTTTTATCAATGACGGTCCAGTACCAATTCTCGAAACGGTTACTCAGAGGCACAAAATGTTACGCACTGTGAGACATACACTGATGAGTCCTTGGGAGGGAGCCGATATGTTAGGGGTTAAGCTAATCTACTATCCTGAGTGGATGACTGGCGACTTCAGGGGACTATTCAACTTCGACATAACAACAGAGCGTGACAAAGAAATTACGAAAGAAATAAACAATACCACGAAATGGATCAAAAGAGATACCGAACTGCAGCCAAACACAACATCAAGATGGACTGCTAAACTGTACAAGAAATTAACCACCCAGCATTATCAGGTCACGGTTCGCATTGATTGTTCTGCAAAGTTTGAAGGGCGTCTAAGAAATGAAATTGCGCAACTCTGTGTTTGTTCTGACAGCCTCAAACGGTACACGCATAGAAATGAAGATGACGTACTATATCAATTCGGGGGTGAAAACAGGCCGTTTTATTTGGCTTTGTCGGACGAAAAAAAGGCATGGGATAATTGGATTTCTGATCGTCAGATGATGGGCAAATTAGTGGAAGAACTCGCTGACCATGAGAGGTATGAGTTTGTTCTCGAAGGAAAGTTTGAAGAAACGTATAGTTACAACATAGACATTGAGTTTAATGACACTGACACACGCCTTGATGCATCCGCCTAGGTTTTCTGTGAAAAGGGAGAACACTTTTTTGTTAGGTGTTTTACAGCGCTCGCAACTGCATAAGGTCATATGAGCGTACGGGACACATCGAACATTTTCAGTTGGTAGGAAATTTTGATTTTTGACCTGGTGGCGGCCGAAGTCTACTCATCGATTTTATACCACAAAGGGATCTTTAATATGCGCAACTTGCGTACGGGAGCTCCGAGATTTTTCACCCTTGTCGAGAAGGCTAGGTGCAGATCTTTCCTACAAGAATATCAGGGATGTGGCTGAAAGACAGCAGTAATGAGCCAAGGAGTAGCAGTAGAAAGGCTGCAGAAAGAGTCCGGAGCCCAGAGCCCAGAGGAGGAGGCAAAAGAGATGAGGGGGTGGAGGCAGAAAGTGGAGACGAATTCAGAAGATAGAATATTGCTTGAGAGATGGAAAGGAGGTGAAAGGAGAAAATTTTAGAGAAGAAAATGTGTCGGTCGCTACACGGATTCGAACCCGGGACCTTTGAATGAGAGGCGAACACCTTAACCTGTGGGCCACGAAAGCCCCCTGGAAGAACATTACTAAGTTGCTATCATTATTGAATTTATTGTTCGAAATAATATCTCCTTTTTTCTTTTTAATGTCATCTTTGGGAACATGTGCCCGTCGTTAGGAAACAAACGAGTTATACTATCCAGTTTATTGGAAACAAATTAAATTATATTTGCGCCTATGTATATTAAAGATGGAGGGGGGGGGGGGCGGATACACCCTGAAAGTTCTGAGTCGGGTCAAAAGTATGGATTTAGAGATTTAGGCATTTTGGCCTTTTCCAGCCTCTCTTACTAGATCTACTATTTATTTCATCACATCAGAACCCTGTAACGTCTTATTTTGTCATTTATCAGGCACGCTAGTCACCACCTTAATCATCCTCCTAAAGTCCCTCTTTTTTCTTTATCGTCCGTTTTCTCAAAACGCAGTTTTTCTGTATATATATTTATTTAACTCATGAAATTTTCAGAGTGATGAGACGCAACACTATAAAATGGTTAGTTGAATTGTCAATATATGGGATAGATTTTTATTGGTAGTGGCTTGAGTTTGGAATTTCACTGATGCTTTTTCAACCTTGAAAATTGCCTCAATAAAAAAATCATTAAAACTTTTAAAAGTCGTTTAGTAAAAATTCAACAGACAGTTCTGTTGAACTATTGGTTCCTAACATGCATGAAAAATAACAGCATATTTCATTGAAAATAAGTGAAGCATTAACAATATAAGACTTGTCAACAAAATCCAATATGGCTGCCGTCTCCATAACAACGTCACTTTTTTCATAAAATGTGATTGCAGATTAGAAAGCCCCTACCATGCTTGTTATATGCGTGAAATTTGGTAAAAATTTTATAACCCTCAGGTGTAGCCCCACCATATAGGTCTTTCGTTCAGATGAAAAATCCTGTACCTATTAGAATTACAAGGACTGGTGTTTCATTGGCTGTTTGAAATTGTTTTTCCATAGAATCTAGATTGTTTTTGTCTTTACCATATATCAATATTTGTTACTGAGTGTCACTATCCTTTTCCTTCATGCGGTAATAGAAACAACAATAAAAAGAACTGTATTTTTACAGCTTGTGTATCGTGTAGTTACGACATTCAGACTTTAACATTGTTGCTCTCTCTTTGTTAAAGGAACTATGCATTCTTTAGACGTTCACCAGGAATGAATTGCCTTGAAAGCAAGTGAAACCAAATATTAAATATTGTATTTACGTGATTGCAGGCTATGTCTTAAATACATACTATAGTGTATGAATATATGATTGTGTAAATAAAAATGATTAAACAATGTAAGCCAATTTCTTTGTTTTGACCTAGAAATCTAGGTTTATTAGAGGGTTACAAATCACCATTCTGTTCTACAATAGGTCTGGCCTCTACTTCTTGCCCGCAAAATACATGAGTTCTATTTTCAAGAAGGGAAGATATTTCATTGAGTATTGTTGTTGTTTTTTTAATATAATTGTTTTAGTGCTTGTGTTAAAAAGAAACCCAACAAAAACAGTTAGCCATGACTTAAAAGGGCAATGTAAGATAACTAACTCAAAGAAACCCAACATGACTTAAAAGGGCAATGTAAGATAACTAACTCAAAGAAACCCAACATGACTTAAAAGGGCAATGTAAGATAACTAACTCAAAGAAACCCAA